GCTCAGTAACTTGCTCGGTAGATGCAAAATTTGAATTTCTTTCCCATAAAGCTTTGCATATTAAGCTCAGTAACTTGCTCGGTAGATGCAAAATTTGAATTTCTTTCCCATAATGCTTTGCATACATGCTCAGTAACATGCTCGGTAGAGGCAAAATTTGAATAAAACTCTCTTGACTAAGACTATGTAAGGATACCATGTTGTTGTATATAGTACAAATATACTGGCTGCTCTTGATATGGCACTACGGGCTTCCTTGGACACATTCACGCCATCTGGCACCTGTAATAAATACAAGATAACATGACTGAATATGAAATCTATAACTGACAATATGAGTGTCACAATGAAAACAGTAACACCAGAATAGTGTCAATCTTGGTAAATTTAAAAAGAAAAAAAAAACGAGTTGACATCACCATTACCATAACGACTGAAATAGGTAAAAAGTAAACAGTGTGAAGAGATGATGAGATGTTCTGAATCCCAAATTTATCGCTTCACTCCAGCTTTCAAGCAAATTTTAATGAATTCCAAGTAAGTCCTTGTATGTAAAAATTATTTCAAAGCCAGTACAGTTATACACACATCTGTTGTTACCCTTATACTGAATGATCAGAAGGTGACAATGATTTCCAATCATTTTTTATACATATTTTAAACTAGTTTATACTTACGGCCTCTTTGATTATTCTGGCAACAACTGAATTTGGTAAATTCAAGTCTTCCGGTCTTTCTGCCATCTTATAAAGTTGTCAGGATAAACATACGCAACTGTAAAATAAAATATTTCAAATTGTAATGATGAAATCATGTGTACACATACAAGTTGTGTTCAGATCTCGCAGGAAGAGTAAACAAATGTATTACAATTTCTAGTAAGGAAAATAATAATATTCATTGAGAATATGCATAGGATTTAAAAATTATCCATTGCAATATTTTATAAAATTCCTTCACTTGAAAATCTTATCGAAAATGGATTTCAAAGGGAAAAATCGTCCAGAAAACTAACTATCCACAGAACACCATTTGCAAAGTGATTTAGAAATATTGGCAAACATGACTAGTCCACAGTTTTTATAATTTGAATATAGATGTCATCATATGAAATTCAGCAATATTCATACAGCCATAATTTTCATCATTTTCAAGGGTTGTTGCGATGTTCTAAGAGATGTTGCAATGTTCCAAGAGATGTTGCAATGTTCCAAGAGATGTTGCGATGTTTCAAGGGATGTTGTAATGTTCCAAGGGATGTTACGATGTTCCAAGGGATGTTGCAATGTTCCAAGAGATGTTACGATGTTCCAAGGGATGTTGCAATGTTCCAAGGGATGTTGCAATGTTCCAAGAGATGTTACGATGTTCCAAGAGATGTTACGATGTTCCAAGAGATGTTGCAATGTTCCAAGGGATGTTGCAATGTTCCAAGGGATATTGCGATGTTCCAAAGGATGTTGCGATGTTCCAAGGGATGTTGCGATGTTCGAAGGGATGTTGCAATGTTCCAAAGGATGTTGCAATGTTCCAAGGGAATGTTGCGATGTTCCAAGGGATGTTGCGATGTTCCAAAGGATATTGCGATGTTCCAAAGGATGTTGCGATGTTCCAAGGGATGTTGCAATGTTCCAAAAGATGTTGCAATGTTCCAAAGGATGTTTCAATGTTCCAAGAGATGTTGCGATGTTTCAAGGAATATTGCAATGTTCCAAGGGATATTGCGATGTTCCAAGGGATGTTGCAATGTTCCAAGGGTATATTGCAATGTTCCAAGGGATGTTGCAATGTTCCAAGGGATGTTGCAATGTTTCAAGAGATATTGCAATGTTCCAAGAGATGTTGCAATGTTTCAAGAGATATTGTAATGTTCCAAGGGATGTTGCAATGTTCCAAGGAATATTGCAATGTTCCAAGGGATGTTGCAATGTTCCAAGGGATGTTGCAATGTTCCAAGGGATGTTGCGATGTTCCAAGGGATGTTGCGATGTTCCAAGGGATGTTGCGATGTTCCAAAGAATGTTGCAATGTTCCAAGGGATGTTGCGATGTTCCAAGGGATGTTGCAATGTTCCAAAGGATGTTGCAATGTTCCAAGAGATGTTGCGATGTTCCAAGGAATATTGCAATGTTCCAAGGGATATTGCGATGTTCCAAGGGATATTGCGATGTTCCAAAGGATGTTGCAATGTTCCAAGAGATGTTGCGATGTTCCAAGGAATATTGCAATGTTCCAAGGGATGTTGCGATGTTCCAAGGGATATTGCGGCAGGACTCTAGAAGACGTACCTACACTTTATGCAAATTGTTTTTAAATTATGCTAATTTATTCATGATGTAGCAGTTTCTGTGCTCATGAATATTCATTAATTTGTGGGTCAATACATTCTAAAAGGGGCGATATATTATTTTTGGGGGAAGAGTTAGAAAGGGGGACTAGCAATCCTTAGGGGGTCAATACAAAAGAAGGGACCCATTTGGAGAGCAGCATTGCTCCTCGTGTCTGTTGTTGTTGTTGCATGTGACTTGCAGCTGTCAACTGTGTTCGTACTTCGACGATACGTCGGCTTAGTCGGCTCCAACTGGCTTACATGTGAGGTAGTATTCTTGTGTTCTGTTTTTCTGACTTGAGTTCTTGTTTATGTTTTTAATGTCTTTCATATCTTGTCTTGTAGGAGTGTCCTGTCCATGATTTGGACTTGCAATCTTTGAGTTCCCAGCGCACTGTCTTGTCTGTACCACGAGTGTCTTCACACAAGTGATAGGATTTAAGTCCTATTTATAGGAGCACTGTTTTCACTAGCATTCAAAATTCGTACTAACCGTACAAGATTCGAACCAGCGATCTCTCACATTCCTGACATTGTACATATCCACTAAACCATATACATGTAGGTAGTCATGTGTTTGCGAGAAAAGACTGGCAGGCATGGACATTGAACCCGGGTCCTCTTAATCACTATGTATACAACTGACCCACAAGACCACAATGGATTGACTGGATGTGTTTGCATTTGATGAGATGATACAGTGTGTGTATATATATATATATAAATATTTCTATTATTAACATATTTCTATTATTGAGTTACAATTGTCCACAAAATTGACAATTTTGTGTTTTTACTTGTGTAAACTACATGTATATGCATGCCATAACCCGTTAGTGTACATCTTGCCAATTGGGTATTTGCCATTTGCGTTGCCCATACCTGACCCAACCCTAACCCTAATGCCAAGACAGGTTCCTGTTAATAATTCTGTTGCCCATACCTGACCCGACCCTAAACCTAATGCCAAGACACGTTCCTGTTAATAATTGCTCAATAATGATACTCTGTTGTGCACTGTCTGCGGGTAAGTTGCATTAATGTCAACTGATTAAACAAGTCGTGTTTAAGTAATTTCCACTATTAACAAGTGGTTAAATTGTGACAATAAATGTGTGGACTAATATTTGAGACTTATTTTGGTGTAGACAACTCTCATTGAATAATTTTACACTATTACAAGTTGTTAAATTGAGAGAATAAATGTGCGGACAAATATTTTAGACTTATTTTGGTGTAGAAAAGTCGCATTTAATTTACTTCCACAAATTACAAATTGTTAAATTGAGAGAATACATGTATGGACTAATATTTGAGACTTATTTTGGTGTAGACAACTCTCATTTAATAATTTTACACCATTACAAGCTGTTAAATTGAGAGAATAAATGTAGGGACAAGCATTTGAAACTTGTTTTGGTG